TTACTATCCAAGCTATACTGGAACAACTGTCTTACTTGCATTTCATCAATCTGGCTAACATTCATAGATATAGATTAATACACAATCTGTTTTTGCAAAGGTTCCCCCTAGTGAATGTACTTGAGACGAGGTACTTGCCCAGGTAATGTCAGTAGTACTTGCAATTTTGTCACAAGTCACATAAAAAATACTTGTGCAAATAAAGTTAAGTACTTGTCACGTATTTTTGATCCAGTCAAAATGTAGTGGAATCTCTTTATTTCGACTGCGGAAGTGTTGCGCTAACTATGGATATTTCCAGTTCCAAGTGCTTAAGCAAGTAATGTTTATAGTACTTACGATTTGCTGCAAGTATCCAAGTACTTGGCCTCAAGTACATTCCACTAAGGTCTATATTATAGACTTAAAAAATAATACTATCGTCTGATAGCTTACTTTTCATTATACTTTTAGATAAAAATATGAATGAACAGCTGATTGTAAGTGGAACTGTTGTCATCAATGGTTTAATTGAACGTTGTGAAGGTAAATGTGATGATTTAGAAGAATTAAACGTAAACTTATGCGTTGAATATGGTTTAAACGATGGTCATGAGCGAGTTCTTCAATATTTCGATAATTATGTTAATTAATACTGCATGTTACGAAAACTGGGAGCACCACCACACAAGTTATCGTTTGAAAAACCATCAAAAATACTAGAAGTAAGATATTTACAACTATTGTCCCACACCGTCGTTTAACAGTGCTTTTCTTCTGCTTGTAATAGAAATTATTATCAGCGCCAAAATATAATGCATTTGTTTGTTTTTCGAATGAAAAAATTCCAGAAAAGAAAGACACTTGCAGTTATCAACAATCAAAAGAAGACAGTTTTGCCTACATTTTCATAAGTAAAGCCCTATTGCGAAATCATTTGGAAGATTGATTTTCTAGGAGATTTCTGAAAAACCAGTTCGGATATCCGGAAACTGAGATAACAATCTATCAGTTTTTTTCTTAGATAGATAGTCCAAAGTGCCCTCACCAAAATGAGAACTAAGCGAACTCTTAATTTTTCCTGGTTCAGGCGTAGCATCGGATTTACTTAGAGTCTGAAGATCAATATTTCTTCAGGTTGGGTATCCGAAAACGAATATGTACGTAATCGACCACGCTGAATCTCGTGGCAACATTTCAAAACCCTTGATTTTTCGATTATACTCAAAAATAGGCAAAAAACGGTTATCTCACCTAATATAGGTTTTTGAAACTTTTTTGAAATGTTGCCACGAGATTCAGCGTGGTCGATTACGTATATATTCGTTTTCGATATCCAACCTGAAGAAATATTGATCCTCAGACTCTAAGTAAATCCGAACCAGGAAAACTAAGAGTTCACTTAGTTCTCATTTTGGTTAATTCATAAAGGATATTCAGATAAGTGGAAGGGGTAAGATACCCTCAGTTTACAGTACAGTAGTAGTTATTGTTAATACGTCGACGTCTATAGTGTCATATGGCCTAACAGAAGCACCCTGTTCTCTGATAGAATCTAGAAGTAAAACGAAAAGTGAGTTTGTTCAATCTTATAAGAAATAAATGCATACTTTGTTTATTGTTTCGTCGTGCATAGAGCTTAGTTCTGATAATTGTCAAAATAATTAACGTGCTGGTAGCATAAATAACAATCAATAGCAAAGTGAATATCTTCAATATCTTAGAACAATTATCCTTCATTAGCGAAGATGCTGGATCCCGTTCAGGCTGTGTAACTATTTATGACCCTCTCCTACTACTGGTTAATCACTCTCATTCTCTTCCAACTATATCTCACCTCTCTCTCATTGTCTGTTTCCCCGTTTAGTCTGTCATATTCTATCCGAATTTCATTGTGCACCTTCTCATCAGCCAATTCCGTCACTTTCATTGTTCAATCTATCAGTCTCTCTCCTTTTGTGTTCTCCACCCAGGTCCAAGAAACGGCACCGTTAACGGTAAGTTAACGTGCCGTAAACAGACCGTTTTTAATTCCTAAACGAGTATTTCTTTATAGGCAGCTTATAAGAAGTTTTATGGAAGCCCTAACATTAGTTTTCAACTGGCGCATGTCTAGACAGTAGGTCACTCTCAGAGCAACAATATTAGACCTTCGTATTATTCACATACAACCATAATTAAAACAAGTTTAGTACCGCGAATGAAAAACCAGTTTCAGAGTGAGCTAATTAATCAAAATCAATTGCGTCATTAGCATAACGTGCATATACATGATGAGATAATCAACACTCAGTTAGGCTCTTGATTTGCATCAAGAAAAATAAATTTTAAAACAAAAGAGGCACACATAAGCAGCGAGTAGAATCATGAAATGTCAACGTCAATAAATGAACGTTCTTGTTTTAAGATTTTTAATCGCACCGTAAATCCTTGTTAAAAGAAAAGAGAATAATAAGTATGTTGGTCACTTCGTTGAACAAAAAAAAGCAGCAAAGAAATAGTGGAATCTTCCACGTTCTGACTATTTCTTTTAATCCAATGCTTCAGTGGCTACGTGAATGAGCAGGTTGACTCGAAGAACGACGGATGATCGGGTAGATAGGTATCTGAATAAACCTTGCGGGCTTTGTTGAAATTCAGCAAGGCTTTATCGAATCTCTGCGCATTTGTATGTGCCAAACCGATATTCTTGTAAGCTGTTCCAATGGTCGGATGATTTGCTGGCAACGAATTTTGGTAACTTTTCAACGTCTTTTGAGAATAAAACAAATCCATATCATTGTTACCGTTCTTACCGTGTGCCACGGCAATATCGTCCAATAATTTTGCCAGTTCAGCATGATTGGCAGGCAGACTTTGATCTCGAATTTTCAATGCTCGTTGCAAATTCATTAATGCTGAATTACAATTTCCCATCTTACCAGAAGTATTACCGATCTTATGATAAGAAGTAGCTGTCTCTGGATGATCATCTCCTTTGTGTTCAATGTTAATTTGCGATGATTTATTGTACCAACGAAGCGCTTCGTCGAAATTGTCTTTTCTGGAGTAAGCAGTAGCCAGATTTTGCGTGCTGTTCAACTATTTTGTAATCTTCTTTCTTCACATTCACTTTAGAATAATAAAGCAAAGAAAAACGTTTTTCGACAAAAAATTTAGGGCAAGAGTCCTTCTCAGGGACTTTTCGTCTAAAAGGTTTTTTCCGAGTTCCCGTTGTTTTGTTTATAATAAACATTTCAAACATAATAAAGTACCGTTAAGTAAAAATAGTCTCTTTCTGAAGTAAAAAACCACATGTTCGCTTGGTCTATAGAAAAATGCCCACTGTGCAATGGTCTTACATACAATGCACAGGCGTAATCGAGCTTGCTCAAAACATATGTCTTAAAATTGTGAAGCCGTACTGAAGCAGGAACCTTTTTAAATTGGCGGTACATGGCACGTGAACGCGGCCTACAGGTTTTAGCCAGGTCGTCTATATGTGCTCGCTACCTAAGGTTATCGTTGATTTTTAAACCTAGAACGACTAGACTTTGTCGTAATTTAGTATAGACGTCGTATTCGTGTAGACTTTGCGTAATTTAAAATGAAAAGTATCAGCTTTGTTTGGGTGGTTAGAAACAAACATCCATGCACACTTGATGGGATTAAGCGCCGCGCGGTTTGAATTACATCAGTCACATATTTTGTCAATATTCTCCGGACAAAATTGTGTCAAATAATCAGAAGTAACGGGACAAATCAGCGTACAGTCATCAGCAAAAAGTATGGTGTCGGTGCCTTGATCATTTTCGCAGGACCAATTGTTTTTCCCTATCGGAGCCCCGTAAAATCGATGTGTGTCTTCCTCTCACCCCTCAATTGATTACTCATTCCGTCTCCCCTGTTCCGGTCAGCTTGAAGAATGAAGTGACTCACCCATCGCCTGCGCGACTGTTTATTTAACGTTTAGTCAAAAACTGATATATCGTTGTTTGCTTCAGCCTATTCGAGTAGATGTCGATATGAATGAACTGAAACTAAATAACGTGAATCGCATCGATTCACTAAGTCCATTGCCCGTAAGTATAATGCATGTACTGTCGGAATTATTATTCATTCTGTTGTAACTCGATCTTGTTACTACAGAATCGATGGATATTTTTTACGATGAGAATGTCCACATTTTTCACCTTAGTTTACAGAAACAGTTGCTATAGGTTTTCACCGATCAGAAAAATTTATCTGAGTGAGTAAGTGTTTCGAAGTCAAGTATGGAACAGAAGTCAAGCCAGCATGAGTTCACGAGTTATGTGACTCTCAAAAGTTTGAAAGCCTTGTTTAGTAAATTTGTGTAGTTCATTGAGTCTCTGTAGTTTGATTTTGGTTTGGTCGAAATGGACATAATATTACCAAATCTCTCAGTCCTTCCACTCTTGATAACGGAACCTAAGTGAGGACCACATTTAGCCTCGTTCGTGGAAAAGCGGCTGCCAGATATATCATGGATAAGCCAAGCATAAGGAAAAAAGTAGACAATTTTTTCAGCATGCGAGAGAAAACAACGTAACGCTCGTCCGCACTCGCTTCCCTTGACTTGAAGCAAGCATCTATATTCACTCTTGAAGGTTTTTTTCGTTTGATCATGTTGGACTTATGCTCCTATTATTATGAATAAATTTTCATTGAACAGATTTTAGTAGTCACCACCAGTAATTGCGACGTAGAATTTCGACATACTTTGACAAACAATCATTACATATATGTTGATAGTTAGGATCCTATCAGTCGCCTTTTTCTTTTGTTCTATGCTTTACTATTCAATACATGATATTGGACAAAATTAACAGATCAATACGTATTGAGAATAAAGCAATTAATTAGCTCACAAGTCCGTTAGATAAGGTTTATATGAATTTTTCTTTTCAATAAAATAGTATAGAATGGTAAGAGACTAAACTAACGAGCGGACCTCGCGAACTGTCACATCGCTTTTTCAGCCAAACCTACTGGGTTACGGGGTATGAAGGCAGATAACTCCAAGGATAAGAAAGAAAAGAAAACATCAAAATTGGCACTTCACAATCTGACACACAGAACTTTAAATATTATGACCAAAAAAAGCTGAACAACCCTGCTTAACCATAACTTTAAATTTTCACAAAGAAAACCTAGACAAACACCAGTCATGACACTGATAACAGGAATTATTCAGTCGATATTAGCCATAAAGTTTCTTTGACATATTTTGTTCAATAATTTCCATGCTGCTTCACTATGAACCATTTTCATATAAGATACAAATCCAAAGTCGGCATACATATTAATCGCTCTCCAACTTGGCGTTTGTAAGTCAAGGAAACATTTGTTTGAGTATTCAGCAATCTTTTTAAGTACAGTTGATACCAACGGTTTAGCTATTTTTTTCCTTGATATTCTGGAATAATTGATACCCGATAAAGTCTACCTTGTTCTTCTCCATCGAGTTGATCTGTCCATGCCATTGCTGTTCCAATGTATTTTCCATCAGAATTCACCAAAAAATGAAGCCGTTCTGGAAGTAGATCATTATTTGAATGTTTTAAAAGGTGTTTTGAAAATAACTCATGACCTTGTTCAATCGATCTAAATTCGCCTGCAGCCGTAGCAATCTCTGCTCATCTTTGATCATCGT